TAATCTAATAAGAGGACGACATTATTTTGTCTGGTTTCGCTTAATACAAGTTAGTTCATTCCCTCATTCTAAGCAATGCCATTATTCTAAGCAATGCCATCATTCTAAACAATGCCATCAGTCTCGATAATGCCAGAAGTTTTAACAATGCCACCATTCTGAGCAATGCATCTTCTAAACACTGTCGTAAGTTCTCAACAATCCCATCATTCTGAACAACGTCATCAGTTTCAACAATGCCATCATTCTGAACAATACAATCATTCTGAACAATACAATCATTCAGAACAATACAATCATTCTGAACAATACTACCATTCTTGACAATGCCATTATTCTGAACAACATTATCAATCTGAACAATGTTATTGTTATAAAGATCATAATCTCATTTTGAACTGTCGTTCAATATTCAGTAATCAAATCATAAGAATCCATTTATTATAAAACTAGAAAATATCACCCGATGTTATTGCGATTAATATTGTCGGGCACAACGCGACAATTTCCCCATGACATTGCGAAAACTCATCCTAATCTCATCATTCAATGTTTTAAGAAGTAGTTCTCTGCTATGTATTATTCGCTAATTCTAGTTCTCTGCTATGTATTATTCGCTAATCCTAGTTCTCTGCTATGCATTATTCGCTAATCCTAGTTCTCTGCTATGTATTATTCGCTAATCTTAGTTCTCTGCTATGTATTATTCGCTAATCCTAGTTCTCTGCTATGCATTATTCGCTAATCCTAGTTCTCTGCTATGTATTATTCGCTAATCTTAGTTCTCTGCTATGTATTATTCGCTAATCCTAGTTCTCTGCTATGTATTATTCGCTAATCCTAGTTCTCTGCTATGTATTATTCGCTAATCCTAGTTCTCTACTATGTATTATTCGCTAATCCTAACACTTTTCGAATCCCTAAACGACACATTTGTTTTCTATAATCATGAACTTAAATGACCAAATCTAAATAATCGCTAATTAAATCATGATTGCCACTAAAGGATTTCACTGACGGCTGAGTTCTAAGCTAGAGAAATACTTAAGATGTCATGTTTTTTTTTAAAAATCGTTACATTTTGGGACCACCTTACCACTTTTCGTGCCCCTAGACTAATTTTATTTTCTAACAATTGTGAAAACTTAGTCAAACATTTAAAACACAGACTCTATTTACCATTTCAAATAAATTTAGAATGAACGGAATTTGATCTACTAATATCTTCATTTCAAATTTTTCCAAACTTGTGTTTTTGTTTTAGACTTACTTATCGGAAAATCATAAAACAAAGAATACAATTCTCTAAAGAAGAATCTCTAAACGTTTTTCACGTCTGCAACAGCTTTGGGTGTCCCTTTGACATGAACCTTAGAGATATCATAACAATATACGCCCGCTTTACTTTTCGCAAAGTAAAAACAATATTATATTTTTAAAAGAAAATATTATCCCATTTCCATTTTTAGAAATTACATTTTCAAGTGTATAAAATGATTAGGTTTTGATATTCATGGGTATACTTACAGAAACGTACACAATTTTTGTTAAAGCCATTCGTTTTCTTAATTTGTAAAAATATGTGTATTTGTAAAAAGAAAATGTAACATCTATTTTTGACAACTGTAACATGATTGGATGTAAAGATATTGTCATCCAAGTAAAAATCTTCACATCCTATTGCGTAACCCCGATATGTATGTTCCTAAGAAGGTTAATTATTTATCAAATTCATTCATTGATTCTGAAGCGTATCTCGTGCTGCCTGGGCTAAAATGAAAGTATCGACCCCCCCCCCTCCCCTCCCATTAATAACATCAGCCGCGGGATTGTAGCCTTCTACGTGCAAATTCATATTTTTGGCACTTCATGTGTTTTTTAACAATTATACTTGGATTAGTGTTTTTTTTTTTACTCTGGCCTTCCACTGCACTGATTGACTTCAACAGCACTTTCTTATTAACAATATATTTAATGGTTAAGTTTTTATAGCTTTATACATTTAATAAAAATATATTTTTGGAATGAAAAATAAAGCAGAAAATGTTAAAAATACAAAGCCAATTTTTTTTGGTGCTATTAACAATTATTTTGATTAATTTTACTTTTAAGAAAGGGAAAATACATTTTCAGCTTTGTCACGCGTGGTTATTAAATCAAAGAAACTCAGAGCTTTGGCTAAAATAGGCAATTCTCGCTATAACGTCATTTGCACCTTTATAGAGAACAAATTGCAAATTAATTTTTATTTTGCAATATTAACAGAGCACTAAAAACGCACCAAAAAATGCAGAGTTTTGGCTTTTCCCGATACTAGTGATTACGATGTACTTCTTAGATCATACTTTTTTATGAATTTATTTTTCATAACATTCAAACACGGATAAAATGCTCAAAATATTAACTTGATTGTTATTTTAGAAGTATTTGTAATTTATAATAATAATACTTAAACATTTACTCAAATAAAAAAACTTCCATTAGCAGATCACAACATTTAAAGCTAGAAAACATAGTTTGTTTAATTTGTAAGAAGTACTGCAATAATGGGGTAGTCCCTCTTCCAAGTGGGCCTTACGGGTCTCTTTCCCTTACGGGTCTCTTGCCCTTGATGTTCTCTCATCTGTTCTACGCGGGTTATGTCCCCCCACCAGCACCCGGTCCCCCATCCAGGTTTGATAACCCTGTTAGAATAAGAACACAATGCTACATTTTGATCTTAACCCAAAGAGCGAGAAGTTGGAAAGCATTTACTATGTCTTTTCAAATAACACAATTTCTAATTAGCTTTTTTGACTTGTACACAATTTCTAGTCAGTTCTTCTCCAGTGTACACAACTTCTAGTTAGAAATTTCCAAGTGTACACCATTTATACTTTGATTTTCTTAAGGACACAAAAGTTTTAGTTTGACATTATTTTCAAATTCTTCTATCTCCCTTTCAGGTTCCGTGTCCAGCGTGATCAAAAGGGGACCAAACACCTGCCTGAAAACAAGAATTTCCAAAGTTTGGCCCTAGAATTGTTTCCAATTGTGATTTCTAAACTGACCAGTGTGTTACTGACCCAAGAGTGGACAGCTGTACCATCATCAGTCGTCACTAGTGGCCATGGCCAGATACAACTTTCGTTGACAAATCCACGAAGATTTCCCGGTGTCTTTGATACGAGTGGTTTAGGACGGGAGACCCTGTCTCGTGCATTCACTGAATGGAGTTTAAATTAGGGATACACAGCGCTCGCTCGTGTTCTAACGTCCTTGAGTTTAGTTCTAACACGATGGTTGGCCTCAAGCACATCGAACTATTTGACATTATTCGCATACCGATTTTAAGATGGTACGGAGAGAAATCACTTACACTGAAATAACTGTTTGACAGTCCAGTTCTAGCCTGACACTCCGTATTCAACAGCGTGACCATTCTTTACTAAAACTAAATGAAATTTTTTGTATAAAGCTGAATTTTTTATGGCGATAAAACACTTAAATCTTTAGCCCCGTTCAGACTAGCGGCAATCGATAAGACTATTCAAAATCATTGTTACGGACCTATGAGACGAAGGTGAGTCTGCTCAGAAACTACGACGGGCTAAATTTAAAGTTTAAGTTACCGGCAGAATAGTCAACTCTAATTGCATACCAATTAGACTTTAAAGTTGTTGGCAATTTTTCTGAACAATTTTTTTTTTTTAAAATTCAATTTAAATAATTGTTAAAAAGGGGAAAATTTGAAATATCTATAAGCATTTGGACAGTTTCAAAATATGAGCTACGATCAAAGGCTTTGGCATTGGAAACAATACACAATTGAAATATGCATTAGAAACATACACAATTGAAATCTGTCCTAGGAACATACACAATTGAATTATGTATTAGAACCATACACCAATGAAATCTGTATTTAGAAACATACGTAATTGAAATATGTATTAGAAACATACACAATTGAAATCTGTATTAGAAACATACACGATTGAAATCTTTATTAGAAACATACACGATTGATATCTTTATTAGAAACATACATAATTGAAATCTTTATTAGAAACCATACACAATTGAAATCTTTATTAGAAACCATACACAATAGAAATCTTTATTAGAAACATACACAATTGAAATCTTTATTAGAAACATACACAATTGAAATCTTTATTAGAAACCATACACAATTGAAATCTTTATTAGAAACCATACACAATTGAAATCTTTATTAGAAACCATACACAATTGAAATCTTTATTAGAAACCATACACAATTGAAATCTTTATAAGAAACATACACAATTGAAATATTTATTAGAAACATACACAATTGAAATCGTTATTAGAAACCATAAACAATTGAAATCTGTTTCAGAAACATACACAATTGAAATCTGTTTCAGAAACATACACAATTGAAATCTGTTTCAGAAACATACACAATTGAAATCTGTTTTAGAAACATACACAATTGAAATCTGTTTCAGAAACATACACAATTGAAATCTGTTTCAGAAACATACACAATTGAAATCTGTTTCAGAAACATACACAATTGAAATCTGTTTCAGAAACATACACAATTGAAATCTGTTTCAGAAACATACACAATTCAAATTTGTATTAGTAACATAAACACTTGAGATCTGTGTAAAAACATACACAGTTGAAAGCTTATTAGAAACACACACAATTAAGTTCTGTTTTAGAAACATGCACAAATGAAATATGTATTAGTAACATACACAATTGAAAGCTGTATTGGGAACATTCACAATTGATACACAAAATATCCAGTGAGAACTACACAAACATACCATATAAATTATTCCATAAACTCACACTTGAAATATGTTTAAATTCACAAATTCTTATTTAACGAATCCTCGTCCGACCGGGGTTTGGATCTAAAAGTTCGCTAGTGCGAGTCCACCATGGCTAACACACGTGACAGTCATGATGTTTTCAACACGTCATACATGGACGTCAACGGCTTGACCACCTTACCGACATGCGACAGCCTGATGGAGACCACAGTCGGGGCGGTGGCCAATCTCACCAACTCCACTTCGGACATGCCCACCTACCTCAAGGTGCTTCCCTACGCCGTCATCGTCTGCTACCTGCTCATCTGCGCGCTCGGCCTCATCGGGAACGGCCTGGTCATCTACGTCGTCCTCATGTTCGCCAAGATGAAAACGGTGACCAACATGTACATCCTGAACTTGGCGCTGTCCGACGTCCTGTTCCTGACCATGCTCCCCATCCTGGCCACCACGTCCATCGTCCAGCACTGGATCTTCGGCTTCGCCATGTGCAAGATCTACTTCGTCGTCTACAGCATCAACCTGTTTGGTGGGGCCTTCAACCTGTGTCTGATGAGCGCGGACAGGTACATGGCGGTCTGCCACCCCATTCGTTCCCTGAGGTACCGTACTCCAAGAATCGCTTTGTTCCTCTGCCTGTGTATCTGGTCGCTGGCGTTTCTCGTCATGATGCCTACCATTCTCTACAGCAAGACCATGGACCACCGTATATTTAAAGGAAAATACTCATGCAATATTAAATGGCCCGAAAATCAGGCCATCTCGTCCGACAAAGCCTTTATTTGGTATTCCTTCATCCTGGGCTTCTCTATCCCCGTCTCCCTCATCTCCGTGTTCTACGTGCTGGTCATACTGAGGCTGCGTCACGTGGGGCCCGCAAAGAAGTCGAAAGAAAAGCGGAAGTCCCACCGCCGCGTCACTCGCCTTGTGCTGACCGTGATCGCTATATACATTGTCTGCTGGCTGCCTTACTGGGTCTTCCAAGTTGTTCTTGTGTTTCAAAACTATAAGATTAGCTCGCCCTCGAAGGTGTTGCTCTTCAACTTCTTCACCATCCTCTCCTACGCCAACAGCATGCTCAACCCATTCCTTTACGCTTTCCTCAGCGACAACTTCCGGAAGAGTTTTCTCAAAGCCTTCAAGTGTGTGTCCAGCATCGAGGCCAACAGGTCTGTGTGTAATGAGAATAGTGTGTTTCCCAGGACCAGTCAAACCTACACGCGCAGTGGCGTCACGTCTGAGGAGAGGATGGAGCTGTCATCCATGGAGGCCACCTCGATGTCTCCCCCTCCTTGCGATCAAAAGTCGATCAAGTTGCTGAAGGATGAGCATGGCTTTCTGAAACCACCAGTCCATCTGTGAAGCTGAACGCCAAGGGAAATATGGAAGTAAAGTGTTCATTCAGCTGGCGTGTAGGAAATAGTTCATTATGAAATATGTTGCAGACAAACGGAAAGCATGTTTGGTGACATACGGCAGTCATGTTTGGTGACATACGGCGGTCATGTTTGGTGACATACGGCGGTCATGTTTGGTGACATACGGCGGTCATGTTTGGTGACATACAGCGGTCATGTGGGGGATACGAGGAGGCCATATTTGTTGACATACGGGAGCTATGTTTGGTTACATACGGAGGCTATGTTTGGTGACATATGGAGGCCACATTTGATGACATACGGAGGCTATTTTCCGTGACATATGTTTAGTGACATCTGGAGGTTATATTTGGGGGAAAAGGCAATGTTCGGTGACATACGGAGGCAATGTTTGTTGACATATTGAGGCTATGTTCGGTGACATACGGAGGCCATAATTGGTGACATACGGAGGCAATGCTTGGTGACATATAGAGGCTATGTTCGGTGACATATGGAGGCTATATTCGGTGACATATGGAGGCTATGTTCGGTGACATATGGAGTCTGTGTTCGGTGACATACGGAGGATATGTTCGGTGAAATACGGAGGCTATGTTCGGTGACATATGGTTGGTATGTTCGGTGACATACGGAGGCTATGTTCAGTGACATACGGAGGCTATGTTCGGTGAGATATGGAGGCTATGTTCGGTGAGATATGGAGGCTATGTTCGGTGACATACGGAGGCTGTGTTCGGTGAGATATGGAGGCTATGTTCAGTGAGATATGGAGGCTATGTTCGGTGACATACGGAGGCTGTGTTCGGTGACATGCGGAGGCTATGTTCAGTGAGATATGGAGGCTATGTTCGGTGACATATGGAGGCTGTGTTCGGTGACATACGGAGGCTATGTTCAGTGACATATGGAGGCTATGTTCGGTGACATACCAAGGCTGTATTTGTTGACGTACGTTCTGCCGGATAGCTCTGAATGGCATAAACAATCATCATTGTAATATCATTAAATGTAATTATTATTTTGATATCATAAAAGACAAATATTATTGTGCCATCATAAAATATACTTATTATTGTTGTATCATAAAATACATTTTTATTGTACTATCATAAATTATAATTGTTATTGTGATATAATGAAATATAATTTGTTTTGTACTGTCATAAAATATTATTATTATTATTGTAATATCGTTAAAAATAATCATTATTATTTGTTTCTTTCCTCGCTTAATACAGTTAAGATTGTTGTTTTTAATGGATTTGTTTGCCTCTAGTTGGAATAACGCTTACTAATGAGTGCGTGTGAAATAAACTATGTGTGACGTCATACATGGAGTGTTGTACATACTCTTGATGTCAGTTTTCAAAGTACCCTTTAATATGACCTTTAGACTTAACTGTTTCCTTCTGATATTCGACTTGTTTATACGACCTGTATATACGACCTGTTTATACGACCTGTTTATACGACCTGTATATACGACCTGTATACACGCTTGTCTATACGATCTGTCTACGATCTATATGACATGTCTAGGCGCATGTCTATATGACCTGGATACACATATGTCTATATGACCTTTATACACGCATGTCTATATGACCTTTATACACGCATGTCTATATGACCTTTATACACGCATGTCTATATGACCTTTATACACGCATGTCTATATGACCTTTATACACGCATGTCTATATGTCCTTTATACACATATGTCTATATGACCTGTATACACACATGTCTATATAGCCTGTATACACACATGTCTATACGACCTGTATACACACATGTCTATATGACCTGTATACACACATGTCTATATGGCTTGTATACACACATGTCTATGTGACCTGTATACACATATGTCTATATGACCTGTATACACGCATGTCTATATGACCTGTGTAAACGCATGTCCATTTCTCGCTTTTGGAATGAGGCTCACTTCAGTTCAGACACCAATCTCAGTTGGGACGTAACAATATTTTGGCGAAGTGTTAAAAATGTATCGAGTATTCAAACCAACACACAAAGACTCATAGCCAACACACAAAGGCTTAAATCCTACATAAAAGACTAAAAACCCACACACAAAGGCTCACAACCCACACACAAAGGCTCACAACCTACACACAAAGACTCACAACCTACACACAAAGACTTACAACCCATACAAAAAGGCTCACAACCTACACACAAAGGCTCACAACCTACACACAAAGACTTACAACCCACACACAAAGGCTCATAATCTACACACAAAGACTCACAACCTACACACAAAGGCTAACAACCTACACACAAAGGCTCACAACCTACACACAAAGACTTACAACCCACACACAAAGGCTCATAATCTACACACAAAGACTCACAACCTACACACAAAGGCTCACAACCTACACACAAAGGCTCACACCTACACACAAAGGCTCACAACCTACACACAAAGGCTCACAACCTACACACAAAGGCTCATAATCTACACACAAAGACTCACAACCTACACACAAAGGCTCACAACCTACACACAAAGGCTCACAACCTACACACAAAGGCTCACAACCTACACACAAAGGCTCACAACCTACACACAAAGGCTCACAACCTACACACAAAGGCTCACAACCTACACACAAAGGCTCACAACCTACACACAAAGGCTCACAACCTACACACAAAGGCTCACAACCTACACACAAAGGCTCACAACCTACACACAAAGGCTCACAACCTACACACAAAGGCTCACAACCTACACACAAAGGCTCACAACCTACACACAAAGGCTCACAACCTACACACAAAGGCTCACAACCTACACACAAAGGCTCAAAAAACATCTATAACTTGAGAAAAATACTAAAACTGAAGATTACTAAAATATTCAATGGGCAGACTGATTAGTGTTTGATAATCTCAACAGCAAATCGCGTCTGCACGCACCTGGATAACCAAATGGAACCTCAAATGTGGATGCTGATACAGCTTGGCACCAGCAGAATCCCAGGAGTTTCCGGAATATTCATTTTGTCAGTGTTATACTGCCTCCGGAACTCCGTCTCGGATTTGATTTCAGAGTTTTCCTTCTCTTAAATGAGCTGCCATCCAATTGGGCTGCTGGTTCAGCTGCCATCCAAGGTTAACTTGACCCATCCACCTGTACTGCTGGTTGAGTTGCCTCTAAGATAAACGGGTCCCATCCACCTGGGCTGCTGGTTGACCTGCCTCTAAGATTAACGGGTCCAATCCACCTGGGTTGTTGGGGAGCTGCCCTCCAAGGTTAACTGGACCCATCCACCTGTGCTGCTGGTTGAGCTACCATCCAAGGTTAACGGGTCCCATCCACCTGGGTTGTTGGTGGAGCTGCCATCCAAAGTTAACGAGCCCCATCCACCCGTTGTGTTTGTGATGTTTGATGCTTGTCTAGGTTTTTGATGGTAGTGAAAATAATCCATATGTAGCAAGATGTGTGTTAGGTGATGGTGGACAAAGGCTGACAGTTTAACTAACATACACTCAACAAATTCAGGTCTCGAGGACTATAGCTTTACTTGAACACTAAAGGCAAATGCTGAAGACAAATCTAAAGAACAACCCAAAGAAAAAGCCCAAAGAAAATGCCCCAAGAAAAAGCCCCAAAGAAAAAGACCCAAGAAAAAGGACAAAGAAAAAGCCCAAAGAAAAAGCCCCAAAGAAATGCCCAAAGAAAATGCCCCAAGAAAAAGCCCCAAAGAAAAAGACCCAAGAAAAAGGACAAAGAAAAAGCCCAAAGAAAAAGCCCAAAAGAAATGCCCAAAGAAAAGGCCCCAAGAAAAAGCCCCAAAGGAAAAGACACAAGAAAAAGGACAAAGAAAAAGCCCAAAGAAAAAGCCCAAAAGAAATGCCCAAAGAAAATGCCCAAAGAAAAAGCCCAAAAGAAATGCCCAAAGAAAATGCCCAAAGAAAATTCCCAAAGAAAATGCCCAAAGAAAAAGCCCAAAGAAAAAGACCAAAGAAAAGGACAAAGAAAAAGCACCAAAAAATGCCCAAAGAAAATGTCGAAAGAAAAAGCACAAAGAAAAAGCACAAAGGAAAAGACCAAAGAAAAAGCACAAAGGAAAAGGCCAAAGAAAAAGGACAAATGACCAAAGAAAAAGGACAAAGGACCAAAGAAAAAGCCCAAAGAAAAAGCACAAAGGAAAAGACCAAAGAAAAGCACAAAGGAAAAGACCAAAGAAAAAGGACAAAGGACCAAAGAAAAAGCCCAAAGAAAATAACCAAAGAAAATGCCCAAAGAAAATGCCCAAAGAAAATGCCCATAGAAAAACCCCAAAGAAAAAGCACAAAGGAAAAGACCAAAGAAAAGCACAAAGGAAAAGACCAAAGAAAAAGGACAAAGGACCAAAGAAAAAGGACAAAGGACCAAAGAAAAAGCCCAAAGAAAAAGCACAAAGGAAAAGACCAAAGAAAAGCACAAAGGAAAAGACCAAAGAAAAAGGACAAAGGACCAAAGAAAAAGGACAAAGGACCAAAGAAAAAGCCCAAAGAAAAAGCACAAAGGAAAAGACCAAAGAAAAAGCACAAAGGAAAAGACCAAAGAAAAAGGACAAAGGACCAAAGAAAAAGCCCAAAGAAAATAACCAAAGAAAATGCCCAAAGAAAATGCCCAAAGAAAATGCCCATAGAAAAGGCCCAAAGAAAAAGGACAATACAGAGCGTCCAAAGGGGCCACACTGAACACTGACATCGGCGCACTTTAAGGTTGCTTTTGAAACTTCGAATCAAAGTTGTGAGCCTCAATAAGTACAATTGTGCGGACATACCAGAGAGCATCTACGTCACACGACCATTGAGACAATCTCTTACGTCCCGTCTGGCACATTCCCTGTGGTAAATTAA